ACTCTTGTATAGTTTAGTATATATAGGTATACAAGATCAGACTAGTCCTATAGTCTTAATCTTGTCTACTCTAGGTAGTCCTGTACTCTTAGGCTTACTCTATATACTCTACTCTTGTCTCACTCTCTCTCTCTGCCTACTCTACAAGTTCTGACTACATTCTAGTACTTACATTCTGTATTTCTGTTATATAGGATAGTTGTAGCCTGGGTCCTCTTACTGAGCCTTCAGGTCCCCTCTATACTGTTGCTGACAGATCAGACTTCTAATCTAATAGTCTTCAATCCAGTTCTAGGCCTAGGTGGCTGTGTTGCCTTCTTTTATGAAGGAGAGGACAAATAGGACACAATTAAGATTTGAGAATAGATTAGTTAAAGTAGTAGTCACATATAGTTTAACTTAGTGTTAGAAGTTCTTAAAGTGCTACTCATTAAAGTCTGAAGGGCAGGCTACATGTATTTTCTTTCTAGAACAGGTTGCAACTTTTAGAACAATCAGAACAGGTTCTAAGAGGGTTAGAGGTACATAGTTAGTAAAGGCCTCTTAGATAGAGATTTATACATATTAAGTTAGGTCTACTTATAACTACTAATCTAGTAGGACAGTAGGGGTGACAGTCAGTGTAGGAGGGTCCATATTTACACTACAAAGGAATCAGCACTAAACTAAAAGGGGTAATAAATAGAAGAAGGGTGGTAAAAGTTTAAAAGGGTTTAGAAAGTTTAAAATTAAAAAATGTAAAAGGGTTAGGACAAAGAAAAGAGATTAACACAACAGTAAGTACTAATGTCTGAAATGTAGGAGAGTTATAAAGTAGTAATAAGTAGTCTTGATCTAATGTTAGTAACAGTATAGAGGGGACTCAAAGGCTTAGTAAGAGGACTCAGACTATAACTATCTTATATAACAGAAATACAGAACACAAGTACTAGAACATAGTTAGAACTTACAAAACAGACAGAGAGAGAGAGTGAGACAAGAGTAGAGTATATAGAGTGAGCCTAAGAGTACAGGACTACCTAGAGTAGACAAGATTAAGACTATAGAACTAGTCTGATCTTATACACTTATATATACTAAACTATACAAGAGTACTCAGAGAGTATAAGCTACTAAGAATGATAAGCTATGAAGGATGAAAGAAAGGAAGGTCAAAGATAAAGGTATAAAGAATGAAGGGATAGACAAAGGGTAAGAGACTATAGAATAAACAAGGAATGAAAGAGTGGTCAAAGGAATAGAATGATAAAGTAAGGAGGGGTAGTAGTAAGAGTCAGTATGTATATAGTCTATAGACAGTGCTCCTAAGGGACAGAAGTCCTGAGTTCCAGTACAGAAGGGTGCAGAACCCTTGAAACTGAAGGTACAAGAGTAGAGAACTGTAACAATTAGTTAGTAAATAGTAGTAAAAGCTTATTATGTTCTTTACTTGAATTATTAGCTTAATTGTCTTATTTACTTATAAAGGTTATATTTTTTATATATACTAGTACTATTGAAAGTATAAACAAGACATTATACTAGTTTTTCTTATAGCTATAATAGATTTAACTTATAAATACTAGATTTTGTTTATTTCTGTATAATAAAAGAAATTCATTTACTTTACTTAGCAATTGTTGTAGCAAAATGTAGACCTGTAAACTTATATATTATAATTAGTTAATACATATATTTAAATACTTTAAAATATAAAATCAAACTTATAATATATATTAAAAAAGAAATAATAAGTAGTTAGTCTTTATAATTAAGTATTTAATAAATATTTACTTATTATAACTCTCTTAAGAGTTTTAAGCATTTGTGAATTTCTACTAGTTTTATAAGAGTACAAGCCTTAGTAATAAGATAAGCTTATTAAATATAAGTAAAATTAACCCTTTAAGTATTTAAATTTATACAGTGAAACCTGTCATTAAGCATGACCCACTGTGGACAGGTGAGGCCATACTTAATAAGAGGTTATGCTTGTTGACAGTAGCTTAAGTAAAGTAATAAAATTTCCTTATTTGTAGTACATAACTCAATAATACATTGTCTACTTAAAAAACAACTGAATATCAGTCTGTTCAAGAGAACTATTTATTTTCTTACATAGGTTTCTTGTAAGCTTTGGAAAAAGTGCTCTAGCCTCAGTAAACTCAGCACTAATCTCACTCTGAAAGAGTGTATTAAGCTTTGAAAGTAATTAGACAGCCTCCACATAGCTTTTAATGCTTCAACTTCAGTGCTTTGCCATAGGCAGGATCCTTTGGTAGAGATGTATCATTGACTGTACTTGTTTGTAGGATGAATTACTAGGTGGTAAGCATTAGGATATCTAGGGAAG